AAATTTGGTTAATCAAAAATCAATAATAACATTTCTTCTTAAGAAATAATAGTGCTTAAAACAAGGAAATCATTGAATGGTATTAACAGGCTTACATATCACTGAGAAAAAACAAAGTTTTTTCTAAATCAAAATACTCATTACAGTGCCAGGAATCTAACTGTAACATATAGAAAGTCGTGAAGGACAATCACTTCTGTCAAAGAAACCAGAAAAAAAAAGGGGGGGAAAAGAGGAGAAACAATGTACCAAAGAATAGGTAGCATAAATAGCAAAATGGTAGGCTTAAAGTCAACTATATTTGCATTAAATGTAAAGGAAATAACCAGTCCATAAAAAGCCAGAGTTTGTCAGACTAGATTACAAAAAAAAAGCCCCCAGAGGTATATACTTCATACAGGAGACACATTAGTAAATATGTATCACAGATATGAGACACATAGGCTGACAGTAAGACAATAGAAAATGTTATACCAAACAATCATAAATCAAAAAGTATAGTTATATTACTGTCAGGAAAAGGAGACTTTTAGACATGGAACATGTTAAAGTCAGGAGAACATAACAATTCATGGTATAAATTCACCAAGTAACACTTCAAAAAGTATTTTGAACTGATGCTCAGAAACTAGCTTTCTGACACCTGATTTCTGTTAAAGAGTATAGAATATTTCACGTAGGAGTCTTTCCCTCCAGCAAATTGTTATTGGTATTAACATGTTTCTTAAAATGAAATATTCTGGCAAATGTACCTCACCTATCTTTAATAATAATGATGATAATAACAGTAACAGCAATAGCTGTTAATGGTATTTGGATGATTCCAGTCTTCCAGGCACTGTGCCAAGAAGTTTATCTATGTTTTCCATAACAATTTTTTATATTTCAAAGATAAAAAAACTAATAATTATAAAGAGGTTAAAGGATTTTTAAATGTTCATATTACTAGCAATGACTAGGCTAAGGTTTGAAGTTCTTAAGTGCTCACATTAACATTTTAAAGTGAATTACTCTGATGTGCCAATGAGACTTCTCTTTCTAGTAACTGCTTAAGTAATTCAGACATTTGATTTGCAGCAGAGAAGAACGTGAAAATAAACGAAGAGAACTTTGAGAAAGGCTGGCAAATAAAGAGATTGTTGTAAGATGTGATATGAAGTCCATGGGTTTCTAGGAATAAGGAGGAATTAGATCATGATGGTAGTACAAAGATAGGTGTCAATCACAAAAAAATAAATTCACCTGCTTTGTAATTTCACCTTGGGCCAGTGTTCTCAACCTTACAGTAGAAACCAATGTTGGCACAGTAGCAGCACATCTGATTGCTGCCTAAGACTTTCTTTGAGATATATGTACCATTTTATGACTTTTTTTTCTATCAACTTTTATTTTAGGTTTAGGGGACACAGGTGGATGTTTGCTATGTGGGTAAATTGGGTGTCTTGGGAGTTTGGTGTACAAATTATTTCATCACCCAGGTAATGAGCATAGTACCTGATAGGTAGTTTTTTTTTGATGCTCACCCTCTTACTACCTCTACCCTCAAGTAAGTGCCCGTGTCTATTGTTCTTTTCTTAGTGTCCCTATGTATTAAAGGCTTAGCTCCCACTTATAAATCAGAACATGTGATATTTGGTTTTCTGTTCCTGCATTAGTTCACTTAGGATAATGGCTTTCAGTTGCATCTATGTTGCTGCAAAGGACACGATCTTGTTCCTTTTCATGTCTGCATAGTGTTAATATCCCATGGCATATATGTATCATATTTCCCTTACCCAGTCCACTGTTGATGGGCACCTAGCTTGATTCTATGTCTTTGCTACTGTGAATAGAGTTATGATAAACACACATACACATATGTCTTTCTGGTAGAATGACATACTTCTTTGAGTGTATACTCAGTAATAGTATTGCTGGATTGAACAGTAGTTTTGTTTCATGTTCCTTCAGAAATCTCCAAACTGTTTTCCACAGTAGCTGAGCTAATTTACATGCCCACCAACAGTGTATAAGTGTTCCTTTTTCTCCACAACCTCACCATCATCCGTTATTTTTTGACTTTTTAATAATGGCCTTTCTGACGGTTGTATGATGGTATCTCATTATGGTTTTGATTTGCATTCCCCTAAAAATTAGTGATGTTTAACATTTTTTCATATGCTTTTTGGCCACATGTATACCTTCTTTTGAGAAGTGTCTGTTCATGGTCTTTGCCCATTTTTAATGTATTTGTTTGCTTGTTGATTTGTTTAAAGTCCTTATAGATTTTGGATAAGACCTTTGTTGGATGCATAATTTGCAAATATTTTCTCCCATTCTGTAGGTTACCTGTTTACTCTGTTGATAATTTTGTTTGCTGTGCAGAACCTCTTTAGTTAAGTCCCACTTGTCAATTTTTGTTTTTCTTGCAATTGTTTTTAGAGTCTTTATCATAAAATCCTTGCCAGGGCCTATGTCCAAATGGTATTTCTTAGATTTTTCTTCTAGGGCTTTTATAGTTGTAGGTTTTACATTTAAGTCTCCAATGCAGCTTGAATTGATTTTTGCATGTGGTGAAAGGAAGGGGTCCACTTTCAATCTTCTGCACATGGCCATCCTGTTATCCTAGACCATTTATTAAATAGGGATTTCTTTCCTCATTACTTTTTATTGTCAACTTTGTCAAAAATCAGATGGTTGTGAGTGTGCGGCTTATCTCTGGGATCTCCAGCCTGTTCCATTGGTTTGTCTACCTGTTTTTGCACCCATACCATGCTGTGTGGTTACTCTGGCCTTAAAGCCAGTTAGTGTAAAGCCTCTAACTTTGTTCTTTTTGCTTAGGATTGCCTTGGCTACTCAGGCTTTTTTGTTGTTGTTGTTGTTCCATATGAATTTTCCAATAGTTTTTTTCTAATTCTGTGAAAAATGTTCTTGGGAGTTAGATAGAAATGGCTTTGAATCTGTAAATTGTTTCAAGCAATATGTCAACAGGATTGATTCTTCATGTCTAGGAGCATAGAATGTTTTGCCATTTGTTTGTGACATCTCTGAATTCTTTCAGGAGTGTTTTATAATTCCCATTGTAGAGATCATTTGCCGCCCTGGTTAGGTGTATTCCTAGGCATTTTGTTCTCTTTGTGGCTATTATGAATGGGATCACAATATTGATTTGGCCTCAGCTTGGATATTATTGGTGTATAGAAATGCTACTGATTTTTATACATTGATTTTGTATACTGAAACTTTGCTGAAGTTGTTTATCAGATCTAGGAGCCTTTGGACAGAAACTATGGAGCTTTCTAGGTATAGAATCATATCATCTATAAAGAGAAAGAGCTTGACTTACTCTTTTCCTTTTTGGATGCAATTTCTTTCTTTCTCTGGCCTGATTGCTCTAGCTAGAACTTTGAGTACTATGTTGAAAGTAGTGGTGACAGAGGGTGTCCTTGTCTTATTCCAGTTCTCAAGGGGAATGCTTCCAGCTTTTTCCCATTCAGCATGTTGTTGGCAGGGGGTTTGTCATAGATAATTCTCATGACTTCAAGGTGTGTTCCTTTGATGCCTAGTTTGTTGAGGGTTTTTAACATAAACACATGTTCAATTTTATCAAAAGCCTTTTCTGTATCTATTGAGATGATCATTGGATTATGTTTTTAGTTCTGTTTATTTGATGAAATCACATTTATTGATTTACATATGTTGAATCAACCTTACATCCCAAGAATAAACCCTACTTGACTGTGGTGGATTAGCTTTTTGATATGCTTTTGGATTTGATATGCTAATATTTTCTTGAAAATTTTTAAATCTATGTTTGTTAGGGATATTGGCCTGCCTTATTTTTATTTATTTATTTTTTTTGTTTTTGAGACAAGAGTTTTGTTCTTGATGCCCAGGCTGGATGCAATGGTGTGATCTCAGCTCACTGTAACCTCTGCCTCCCAGGTTAAAGCAATTCTCCTGCCTCAGCCTCCTGAGTAGCTGGGATTACAGGCATGCACCACCATGCCTGGCTAATTTTGTATTTTTAGTAGAGATGGGGTTTTCCCCATGTTGGTCAGGCTGGTCTCAAACTCCCAACCTCAGGTGATCCACCCACCTCAGCCTCCCAAAGTGCTAGGATTACAGGGCTGAATTTTTAAATTTTTTTTTATTGTGTCTCTGACAGGGTTTGGTACCAGACGATGCTGTCCTCATAGGATGAATTAGGGAAGGGTCTCTACTTCTATTTTTTGCAATAGTTTTGGTAGGATTGGTTCTAACTCTATGTGTCTAGCCCAGGGATTTTTCTGGTAGGTAGTTTTTTTATTACTGATTCAACTTAGGAATTTGTTATTGGTCTGTTCAGAGTTTCAATTTCTTGCTGGTTCAATCTTAGGAGATTGTGCATTTCCAGGAATTTATCATTTTCTTCTAGGTTTTCTGGTTTGTGTGCATAGAGGTGTTCATGATAGCCTCTGGGTTTGGGTTTTTCTTTGTTTGTTTGTTTTGCATTTCTGTAGGATTGGTAGTAATGTCCCCGTTGTCATATCTGATTGTGTTTATTTGGATCTTACCTCTTTTTTTCTTTATTAGTCTAGCCAGTGGTCTATCAATCTCATATATTCTTTCAAAAAGCCAACTTCTAGTTTTGTTAGCCTTTTGTATTGTTCATTTATGTCTCAGTTTTGTGCAGTTAAGCTCTGATTTTGGTTATTTATTTTTTTTCTCCTAGCTTTGGGATTGGTTTGTTCTTGTTTATTTTAGATCCCCTAGGAGTGAGTGAGTGGTTATGAATTTGAGATATTTCCAATTTTTTGATATGGGCATTTAGCACTATAATCTTTCTTCTTAACACTGCTTTACCTGTGGCAAAGAGATGCTGGTAAGTTGTATCTTTGTTCTCATTAGTTTCAAATAACTTCTTGGTTTCTGCCTTAATTTCATTCTTTACCCAGAAGTCATTCAGGAGCAGGTTGTACAATTTCCATGTAATTATATGGTTTTCAGAGATCTTCTTAGTCTCGATTTCTATTTTTTTGCTTTGTGGTCCAATATTATGGCAGGTATGATTTCAAGTTCATAATTTCGCAACTGAAAAGGGTCCCTCCACACTCTTGGAACTGTATACCCATTGGAACCCTTAAGGTAAAATCAAGCAGAGAAATTTCTCCCCAGAAAAGATGGCATCCTTAATGTGAATAGCTTTTCCCAAGGTCATGGATCAAGACTTCTCTACTATCATGAGACACTTACCTTTGAATATTTTTCCCTTGCTTATTCCTTTATGAACAACAGAAGTGAAAACGGGGTCTGTTGTATGCACCAATAGAGTATATTTTTATTTGAGACCAAGAGAAAGTACAGCCATGTGGTGACAAGGTCAAATTCCCAAGGACATAAAACAAGGTCTCATCCAGTTTTTTTTGTTGTTTCAGGTACCTGCAGCAAAGTGTGTTATTGACCAGCTTGCTGGGCCATCTTGAATAGTGAGCTTACAGGGTCCTAAACCAATGCTCTATCCTAACATACTCTTCTTTATAACAAAACCATACAGAAGACACACAACGCACACCAAATTTGCTGCAACTTAGATCTACCCTCAGAAGCCTTTTTTGCATTAATTACACCTTTACAGAGGAGATAAACAGTGATTTTTATCATTCATCCAACCAGTTTGCAAAAAGAGAGAGAGGTGAGAAGTCTGATTGGTAGGAAATTCTTACCCTTTTGCCAGCACGCCAGGTTTCTGAATTCCCTTTCACTGAGCAGCCCTAGTGACCCTGTTCACAACACTATGCCCCTGGAGGCCAAGCTGCAAGACAAAAGAAAATCTTTGTTGTTTGTTTCATGGAACCACAGGCAACTGTCTCTCAGTTTTGTAAGATGCTGTCCAAACGGCTGCATGAGGTAAGAAAATTACCGTTTTCCATTCCAGCCAGAGAAGAATATGTGTGACAAAACATGGACTTTAGCTGCTCTGCTTACAATCCAATATCAAACTGGCAAGACTCAAACTTGCCCCCAGATGGGTCCTGTCATCTTTAATCCATTCAAAGTGAGTAAAGGAGTTTCAACAAGTGGACTCTGGGCAAAATGGTTGTCCTGGGCAACAGAAAAGATAAGAAAAGGAAAAGAGAGAAAGGGAAAATAGCATTGCCTGTGGCAGGGTGGGGAAGGTAAGAAACTCAGGGTGGCCTGAGAAAGACTCATCCATTGCAGTGATACTGAATCAAAAGTTCAGGCAGTTGCTTATCATTTGTCAGTCACGCAGGGATCTTTTCCAGCAGTCCCACCAGTTCTTAAGTTTCTCCCTGTAGGGAAAAAATAGTTCCCTATGTCCCATGATCCTGTACATGCCTAATCCTGTCATTTATTGCCATCAGCAAAGATTGCAAGGCAGATTAATCCAAAGAGAATAGTGGTTAACAGCCCATAATGCCAAATACATTTTGGAACTTTACCTAGGGGCAGGCCACTAACCCAATTTCATCCTTTACCCAGGTAAAATGAACTATATTACTTACCCAAAGTCAGCCAATTGCTGCTGCAGTCTATCTCCTTTGGATCAGGATAGGAACTAAGCTAAAAGGTTAGCAGATTTAATTTTTGTAATCAATTAGTCACTTAAGCTTTTTACTTGCCTTTCATAAAGTCTTTAAATAAAAATACTGAAATCTGTTTAGAAGCGTTTGTGTATCATCAATAGGCATTCCTAGGTTAAACTAATTTGGGAGCCCTCATTTTCAAATGCACTTCAGTGTGTTATTGTTCATCTGAAACATTCCACTGTAAGTTATCCTTAGTAAGATTTTACTATTTCTGTACGACTTCACTGCTTCTTGGACCTAACTAACACTTATGCATGTATATGCCAGAAGGAACTCAGTTCTTCAAAAATTAAGAATCCCATTTTGTTTGTTTGTTTGTTTGAGACAGAGTCTCACTCTCTCACCAGGCTGGAGTGCAGTAGCACGATCTCAGCTCACTGCAGCCTCCACCTCCCAGCTTCAAGCAATTCTTCTTCCTCAGCTTCCCGAGTAGCTGGGACTACAGGTGTGAACCACCACATCCAGCTTATTTTTGTATTTTAGTAGTGACGGGGTTTCCCTATGTTGGACAGGATGGTCTCGATCTCTTGACCTGATCATCCACCTGCCTCTGCCTCCCAAAGTACTGGGATTACAAATGCGAAGGAATCCCATTTTTACTTAAGATATTGGCTTTGCTCTCAAGTTCCCTTGATTAACTTAGCCAATATTTTTTTTCTACCTAAGCATGCAAGAAAAATGAAACAAAGGAGTAGAACGTGAAAGTCCTCCCGATTTTCCAAAAGTCAAATTTTACACTGCCTGTAATATTACCATTTACTACCAGTTTCTTTCTGACCCAATCAGATGTAAGCAGCTTCTAACTGGATCCAAGCCAGTTAATTGCCAGATTAAATCTAATCCCGGATTCAGTTTCTACTGTGACTTCCAAACCCAGTTTGAATCATAAATTTGCTCCAAAAAACTTGGAAAGCTCAAAATACAAATCTGTGGAGCTCCAAAATCTGAAAGAGAACTTACCATGATCCCCAGCTGCTCCAAGAGATCACTGGACACAAAAGGTTCCTGCAAGTATCTCACTTGGTCACTCAGCACTCCTAAAGGTCATTAGAAGGTCTACTTCAGATCCCACTTCTGACACCATCTGACTTAAAAAAAAAAAAAAAAATTTCACCCAAATTAAATTTAAAGGAGCTTAATTGAGCAATGAACAATTCACAAATCAGGCATCCTTCCCAGACAGAGTAGGCTTGGAGACTCCAGTCCAGCCACATGGTAGAAGATTTATGGACAGAAAAAGGAAAGTGACACACAGGAAATGGAAATGAGGTACAGAAACAACTGGATTGATTACAGCTCATCATTGGACTTATTTGAACATGGTTTGAACAGCTGGCTACATTTGATTGGCCAAAACTCAGTGACTGGCACAAGTGTAGTTCTCTATGTGCAGAGAAGCTCTTAGCCCAAGCTTAAAGTATGTTAGGAGGCAGCTTTAGGCTGAACTTGATTTAACAATGATCTCTTCTTTCCATGTTTAGAACCTCTGGTGAGGCAGGTCTGGTGATAATGAATTCCCTTGACATTTGCTTGTCTAAAAAGAATTTTAGACACAAAACGAGAAGTATTTTAAAAAGTATCACCAAGTATCTCAAAAAGAAAGCTACTGAAAGTTGTACATCAAGAAAATAAGAGAGTAAATCAATAAAAAGGAAGATTGGGCCCAGGTAAGAGCATATTCAGTATGGGAGAAAGGATAAGAGAATCTCTTCAATGAAGGCGAAAAGAAGTCTCAGGAGAGCAGTTGTGCAGCATGTCTGAAAGAAAGCTGTCTAGATTGAAGTAAGTGAGTTAAGGAGCCCAAAAGAGGAAAAATAAGGATCTAACCAGTCATCTGATAATTGTATTGAAGCTGTTGGGATTAAGAGGAGAATCAGAGCTAGTTTCGTATAACCTAAGAAAACAAAAAAATTGAGACAATTTTTAACAGCAGGAAAACAAATGTTTTAGAAAACAAAATCCTCAGACATAGATTTTAATACATGACTCAGGGTGAAATATGCATTTTGTAATCATAAGATGTACACATAAAAATATTATTAATAAAAAAACTTGAAATACAATTACATTGGAAAGAAAGGGCAGTGAATAGAGTGAGGGACAGAGGAGAAAAAAGACCAAATTCTTATGCACCATGTAAAGAAGTGGATAAAATACCTCCAAAAATGATGACCCAAGCCATATAGTACAAGAATATCATTTATAGTAAGGTTTAAATTATTTTGGTATAAACAAAATATAAACAAAATTGATGTAAATTAATATCAAAATATAAACAAAACTGACATAAACAAAATAATTGAAAACAAAATAGTTTTCTATTAGAGACTGATGGAGAAAGATACTGGTGTTCTTAATTATAAGCCTTGAATGACATTTGTCTTTAACAATATGCATATATTACTTTGATTTAAAAGACTTTTAAAAACAAAGTTATATAAATCACAGATCTGTTTCTCTCAAAGGATGTTCCTAATGTGCAATTAAATGAAAAAGCTATGATGCATTAACATTTGTGGTAAATTTCTTGCTTTTCACAAACTCAAAAAGAAACAAATACACTTTACATGTGTGTAGTAGTATGAATATAGGTAATACTGAAGAATACATAAATATTGATCCTGATTAATTTTGGGGGAGTAGAATTGGAGTGGAGGAAAAGGAAGATGGTCCATTTCCACCCAAACCTTTAACCTTTGACTTATCATTGTTAAAGTTGAAAACTCTATCTATCTTCTCGGCCAAAATTATTTTCCTTTTGCCATAAAGGACATTAGTGAGACAATCGATGAAACTGAATAAGCTCTTTATGTTAGACAATAGTACTATATCAAGTTTAATTTCCTGATTTTGATCATAATACTATTGTTATTTAAGAGAATATCCTTATTTTAGGAAATACGCACTGAAATGTTGAGTGATAAAAAGAGCTTGATGTCTGCAACTTACTCTCAATCAATTCAGAAAAAATCACCCACACACACACACACACACACACACACGCACACAGAGACAGAGAGAAATAAAGCAAATATAGAAAAATATTGTAACATTGGTAACGCTCCTCAATGGAGGGTTTAAGGGAATTCTTTGTACTATATTTCCAACTTTTTTGTGCATCTAAAGTTATTACAAAATAAAAAGTAATAATAATTATCATCACATGCAAAAATGCTCTCAAGTTACTACCAGGAATATATCCTTGAGATTGGGACAAAAATACTGCCTTTTTATCATAGTGTTATTAGCAAGTTCCCACCATCAGATATTCATTACAGAAATCAATTTGGAGCCAGGAGATATTCCATCTGCATTCTTCCTAAGACAGAAGAAAGTTAAAATGACAAACATGACTCACCACCCTGAGGTGGTTTTAAGAAAATGGACCATAATAGTTTTAGAAAGAATTATTTGAAAAGGGAAGTATTTTTTGCTCTGCCTCTCATATTGCACCTATATCAGACAAGTTGATATTATTAAAGATAATTGAAATGGGATTTTAAGGCATATTTTTTAAAGTGCTTCAAGAACCCTAAATAAATTGAAATGAAGCCAGTTCTCCCAGATACATGCTTGAAGTAATTGTTTTGTTAAATTTTATCGAAGGCATTTCTGAACTAGGTCAGAGTTTAGTGCAGGTTAACTTTTTCTAATTTTTTTGCTTTCTTCAAGGACAACAAATGATAACTGTGCTAAATTCAATGGTGGACAAACAACACTAGGGTAAGTCCTCTTTGATCGCTCATCAAATCTATCCACTAACAACAATCTTTATATTAAAAACTTTAGACAGTCACCTGTAGGCATATATTCTCTCTGCTTTAGGTATTATTGCTCAAAGAAGAGAGGTTGTTGCTTATTTTATATATGCAATATGTATGATATATAGGAAGTAAAACTCCTTAGCTGTGTAATTTAGGTAAATTCATTTGTTTCTCTGAATGTCTCTTTTCCTCGTCATTAAAAGTAAGAGCATTAGGTTAGATGACTTCAAGCTCTTTTTAAATTCTGATAATACTTGCATTAGTAGCCAGAGTTCTTCAGAGAAACAGAATCAAGAAGATATATATGTATATGTAAGTGAACACATACATGGGTATGGAGGGGAGTATTTTTAAAACTGGATCACACAATCGAGGAGATACAAGTCCAAAATCTGCAGGGCAGGCCAGTAGGCTGGAGACCCAGAGAAGTACTCAGTCCAAGTCTAAAAGCAGTCTGTTGGCAGAACTCCCTCTTCTTCCAGGGAGGTAAATCATTTTCTAATGAGGCCATCAATTGATTGGATGTGCCCTACCCACATCTTGAGGGCAATCTGCTTCCCTCAAAGTCTATCAATTTAAATGTTAATTTCATCAAAGAAGCACCTTCACAGTGAGGTCCAGAATCATGTTTAACCAAATATCTAGGCACCGTGGCCTAGCTAAGTTAACACAAAATTAATCATCTCAGTATTTTATGTTATAGTGATAATTTCTCAAAGTCAAACACAATATGAGAAGAACTGTTACACTTTTTCTACAGAAAAGCCTAAGAAGCTCCACCACAAGTCCCGGGAAAACTGTTATTTTAAAACAACTGGGGCTCTTCTCTATGAACATATTTGAGTCATCATGACATGGGGTGAAATCAGATCTTAAACAGCACTTTCAGCTACCAACAGGACATCTTACACAATGTCAGTATACACTGACTTCAAGGAACGATACTGAATCCTACTATTGACTCCATCTCAGACCCACTAAAGATGGTTCTGGCTTGAACCTCACAAGGCAGATCTGGAAAGAATGTAGAGGTCAATTGTCTGTGTCTTTTCCTTACACAATTGTATCAACTTCCTTAGTAGTGATTCCAACGCATCATGTCAGTACTGTGATATCATATTTGCAGTGAGAATAACTCATAGCAGTACTCCCATCACATTTTAAGGAATTATTTATCTCAGCAATAAAAATGCATTAACTGGTAATAATGTTATCACTTATTTAAAAATAAACACAGTTTTGAGAAGTAAAAGTGTAACAGCAGCATTATGTTCATATTAATAAAGTGTAAATCTCTTTTATTTGTGTTTTGACTATTTTTCTTCCAAGGATTCTAATATTTTGGGATGTAGAACCAACTATAAATAAAGCAACAATCGGGCCTTCACTAGCATTCCCTCAGTATCACACATAACTTTGAACAAACCCCATTTTGATTCCATGGTACCCAAATAGAAAATCTAAGTCAAATAAAAAAGAAGCAATTTGAGAATATAATACACCCTGGTCTGTATATCTTAGTCTTTCACTTACACATGGACCTGAGGACTTCAGCCATAAAGGCAAGAAAGAAGTCACGTGGTGGACTAGTTCCAGAATTCTTCTCAGCAAGATTAACTTTCCTGTAGTTAAAATGAGTGAAAAGTGACCAGAAGATTTATTTGCTTGTACATCTTCAGATAGGTTTGAATGAAGACAATGGAGGTTAGTCTTGAGCTGCACCCCAAGGGTTGTTAGCAGGACTGACTCTATTTCCGAATATGGAGTTTCAACAACAGTTTGAGGAATGAAAAAACCAGGGTTGGTTTTACGCATAAATGTCCGCCAACCCCCCCACAGTAGTCTACAAATCCCTTCTCCCCAGACAGAGTGAAAACAAGACCCCTTTGTAAGTTTGCAGTCCCTTGTTGCATGTTATGATAAATCCCTTGGTACCTCCCAGAGGTCCAGCAGTTCTGTAATCCAGTCCTTTCCAGGGAGTTTTGCTGGAGGAAGCACATCTTAGATGCTTCAAACTATTTTTTTTTTTCTTTTTTGGCTAGACCTCAGCCCTCCACAAGCCAGATCTGATGATGAATCGTAAAGTTCAGAAAGATGATATCTAAGTTCTCACACAATAAGAAAGGCTGTTTGCCTTCAGTTTCCAGGGCAAAAGAGGTCATTGTGGCAAATAACAAAATAGGATTATTTAAAAAGCATATGCAAGTTCTTCAATTTAACAAAAATGTACAATGATAATGTCCAATTATCTGCAAACTCCAAGGAGAATGGGAAAAATGTGATGCTACCCCATTTTTTATGGGGTGTTAATTGGAAGAAG